ATTTGTGTGTTTATTTGTAGATTTTTTCATAATGGATAGTACGGAAGGAAAGGGGTGTGCAGTTATAGCATTATTAGACGGGAAGAGAAAACCGTATCAGATTTTCAAAAGGCTGCAGCATAAAGGAATATTAAAGGATTTTGTCTATCGTACTATTAAGTGATATAATGATAGTGGTTCTGTCAAAAAACGTTATGGTGGTGGCAGGCAACGCACTGCACGTACCCCCAAAATGCTTGCAGCGCTTAAAGCTTGAATTCGTTGCAATCCAAGACGGAATCAAAAAAAACTTGCCCTTCAAATTAATGTGAGTCGTATGACCATTAACAGAGCCTTGAAAGAAAACCTTAAGGTACGGGCATTAAAAATTAAAACATGTCACTATCTTACAGCCACCAACATCAATGGAAGACGTGAGAAATGTGCTCAACTTCTTGCTCGATATGGGCCTGCTGCTGTTAACATAATTTTATTCACAGACGAAAAATATTTCACCATAGAGGCCAAATTTAATCAACAAAATGATCTCGTCTATGCAAAAAGTCGTGCAGAATTACCTCACTATATTGGATATATAGATATATAATTATATTGTCACCAGACACCACCATCCTGAACAAGTTATGGTTTGGGCGGGGGTTAGTGCAATGGGCAAAACCCTATTGCATTTTTGCGAGTTGGGAGTAAAAACAAAAGCAAAAAATTATCAGGAGGACATTTTAGAGCAGGTGGTAAAACCTTTAAATGACTCGTTGTTCAATGGGGAACAATGGTCATTCCAACAAGACAGTGTCCCTTCGCACAAAGCGAAGACAACACAGAGGTGGTTGACAGCCAATGTGCCCGATTTTATCTCCATGGATGCCTGGCCGTCAGCATCACCAGATCTTAATCCATTGGATTGTGCAATCTGGTCTAAACTGGAGGCAAAGATGTGCTGCAAACCTCACACTTCTGTTGATGCCCTCAAACGATCACTTCTCAGAGAATGAGATGCTTTATCCATGGATACCGTGCGTAAATCAATCGAGGAATGGCGTCCAAGACTGGAGGCGTGCATACGGGCAAAAAGGGGTTATTTCGAGGACTCTCTTTATTAATGTGTACTTTAGCATTTTAACTAAAACATAACATGCATATAATATGTATATATTACATTTGTTCTTGCATTAAAAACATGTTCTCTTAAATTTTTTTACTGAATTAAAATTTCACACTTCAATTGGTACCACTAGGTATATAACTTTTAACTATCTGTAATACTCAGATATAAAAGAAAGAATCATTGTTGAAAGTTAAATGAAAATCTAGCTAAAGTAACAATATCAGATTTAGATCCTCGTGTAAATGAAAAAAAAAGTTTTATTTAAATCGCAAACGTTTTGAATATTTAATTATATTTAGTTTTTTGAAAATAGTTTTGGAAGTAGAAACCTTCTATTGCAAACATTAAACCAGTGATTGTTAAAGTTAAATTAAAATTTAAATGATAAAAAAAATAATGAATTAATTTACTTCTATTTAAAAAATATATAACTAATCGAAGTGGCTTACATATTGTAATATTTATGTTTTTATTTTACGTTTTAAAGAATTATGTTAAGTAAAAGCATTTACTAAAATTAATATCTTAATATTATCAAATTTGTTACTTGCTCATTACATTATAACTGCAACTTAAACTTTAAATAACTTAAGCTGTAAATTATAACAGTAACTTAAGCTATTTTAAACTCCGCCAAACAAAAAATATATAATCTCATATTTAAATATTATAAGATACTATTTAAATATGAGAGATAATATGGTTATAAAATAACTTTAACGATTTAATGTAAAAGATACAATTTTATCATACTGCAATCCCCCCCCACCCATATTATAGCAAAGCAGAGCCAGAGATAAGGAAAAAAATTTTCGGGATTAAATTATTTTATTCAAGCCCTGCTAAGTATATGCCTAAATTATATATATACATATATATATATACATATATATATATATATATATACTCAGCAAAATTCGAAGAATTTCAGGTCGGCACAAGCATGCCGACCTTAGTTGACGTCAGGTTGGCAAAAAAAAAAAAATAATAAAAAAAAAAAAAAAAATGATTTTTTGCTTTCTGTTATGATAGGGGTAATGATTAATTGATTATAAAAGGATTGCTTTATATTAACATAGCTTCAGACAATTATATTTTAAAGAATGTAGCAATTAAACTTTGTGTAGTAAATTAGGTATATAGCAAATTTATGAATAAGTGATTTTTTAGTTTTGAAATTGTTGTTTTTTTACGGAAAAAAATGGTTATAGTTTATTTATTTCATTTTAATTGGTTTTTTAGATTGCTTATAGAAAAATTGTTGTTTAGAAATACAAATTTAGTTTATATGCTGAAGGAAAAGATTTTGCTTAAAACGGCAAATTGTTTAACAATAAGAGTAGACAGTTAACATCTGGTTGTTTACCTCTACAATAAATAGGCATTTAAATCTCAAGTAAAAAGGGGTGGTGCTTTTTAACATTTAATTGTAGTATAGTATGAACTTGTAACTATATGCAAATTGATGGAGGGAAAATAAAAGTTAAAAATACTAAAAATAGTTTTTTACTCTTACATATAAACATTGTTTCTGCGCTATGACGATTGTCTTATTGACGTATTTTCATAGTTTACTCATTATCAGATTTTTCTGTCCAATCATAATTAAGTTTTTTTTTTAAATAACTGATGTTCCCTGTACAAACATTTCTGTTGCAAATTTTTGCACAGCCTTTATTTTTATTATAACAATTTTTTAAAAGCTCTGAATACTCTCGACAAGTTTTACACCATATTAAAATTACTTCACCTAAATCATTAGTTTGAAATCCGCAGAATTTAAACCCTCATTTTTTAGTGACATTTCTGTTTGGCATTATGTCTTGTTTTAAGCTTGCTTACTGAATTACTGTTGCGATTTAATGGAAGCTTTAACTTCTATTAAATTAAAAAAAAGTTTTGTAATTAATGTTTCTTCTTTGCATGTGTTTAACATCAGATTTTGCTGATCTTAAATAATACTTAAAAAACCATAAACATGTAAAGTATACTTTATAACTTAATAAAATAACGATTCCGCTTAAAAAAGCATGAGAACAACAGGCATTTAAAAAGTAATATTTTTAAACCTTGCTATGCTTGAATAAATTTGAGAAAAAAAGATTAAAAGAATTGAAAAAAAAGAAATAAATAAATTTTTGTTTTAATAAAATATTTTAAACTTGAAAAGCAAGTAATTGCAATAAAAAAAATTATAAAATAAAATATTAATATTAATTTATAATTTTTTATTCAAAGTAATTATAATTTGTATGCCGACACTTTAGGATATTCAGGCAGGCAGTTGTATGCCGCGCTAAAGCAAAGATAGGTTTGGCTTTTGTGTCAGCATTGCTGAACGCCAACCTGAATTTTGCTGACTGTATGTATAATATATATACATACATATATATATATATATATATATATATATATATATATATATATATATATATATATATATATATATATATAGAACTAAAATTATTTAGAGGAATGCTGGCCCTTCAGAAACTATGCAGGAATTTTTAATGGACTTAATCTTAGAAGGACTTTTTGAAAAAAAAATTTTAATGAATTTTTTTAATGATAAACAAACAATTTTTTATTTACTTCATTTATGCTTTCACATTTTAAATTCTTTAATTATCTTAATGCGCAAGTTTGAGCGCAAGTATATTAGTGTTTTGCTTCACAAAATGTAAATATCTAAGATCTTAATAATCATAATAAATTTAGAAAATGGACAATAATGATTATGGTTTCTTCTACATACTCAAAAATTAAACATTCATTTTTTCACCTTTGTTTTAAATCTATTGCTATTACATTTTTAAGCAATAATGATAATAAAAGCTCTTTTTATTTAATTAATTTATTCTAGTTAACATAACGTTAAAAAAAAAAACTTAGCGATTATTTATTTGAGGACTATTAATTCATGCATAAATGGTAAAATTTTGCTTGAATAGGCCTTTTTAGAAAAACCCTGCATGGGTTTTTAGTAGCCAGCATGCCAAAGGAATTATTAATTTTTTTAATTTTTTATTTCACTTGTTTGTTTGTTATAAAATGTTTCCACCTTATATTTTGAAGTAACAAAAATTAATGAAGCATTTACAAAAATTATTTATGATTTTAAAAAACTTCTTCCTCACTTACACTATCTTCTAAATCTAAAATATTGATACTACAGCTAACTGTTTTAAAAAATTAAAAAAAAACTGAAAATGAAAGGCTTTTTCTTTAAGTACATTTATATACAAATATATATGTATATGTGTGTGTATATATACTATAGCACATTTGTGTATATATGTTACTGCGCATAGAGAGATGTACATTCAATAACTTTTTTTGCTGAATTAAATTCATTACATTTTTTTTTAAAAGAAAAAAATTAATGAATGCTAAAACTTAATGCTGCCTTAACTTAAAGTGTTAGTCAATGTAGCAGCAACTTCTTTGCATGTTCTCCCTGTCAGTCGATGTATGCACTGAAGGCCCTTCACCTATCTCTTTCAGCATGTCAGATGGCTGATCTAAGCATACTCTTAGTTGTATATATAAGTATATGTGTTTATACATAAAAACTATATTCAACAATACAATTAAATAAAATGCAAAATAATCTTTTTAACGCATTGGTATTAAGAGGTGAACTATCAGTTATAGTTTATCTTTTAATAACAATGTGCTAATAAGAGTTGATAGTGAAAGTTTCTCTCTTAATAACAATGTGCACTGTTAAGCTGACAATTAAGAACTGTAATAAAAATAAGAATCATTAAAATTGTAAAAACGAATAGCTAAAGTTTCAACACTATTAAATTTTTAAAAAGAGCTCATTACAATTTTTAACCCTAGACTCGATGTTTTGAATAAAAATTTACTTTATAAAATTATAGCATGCTACCTGTATGAGTTCTTTTTGAACTGTGCCTTTCTGATCCTTCATCATTATATGCACGTTTTCTTGAGGAAGTGTAGGCACCTTCTTCTGGCACATCATCTTCTCGATAAGAGTATTCTTCAGACATTATTAATTTAACCTTGAAAGTTAAATATTTCAAAATTAGTACAGAACTATAAACTTTTGATAAAAAAGATTTGTTGTAAGTTACTATGTTAAACTTTATATGCAAATGTATAATATTTAAATTCTAATATTAACAATGAAATCTACACAAATTTCATTTTTCAATAATTTCAAGCAAATAAAATAAAATAGTGATAGATAAACGGGTAATTACACATATACAAGGGTAAGTACACAGAGAACATCGATATGTGTTTCTAAATGCTAAACAGAATCAACGTTTGAAGGCATTTTAAAAGTGAAAATTGTAGTAATAATTTTAGCTAACTAAATTTAATTAGATTAATTACCAAAATATTGTAATATTTAGAGTATAGACTTATTTTTAGTATATCATTAACTATGGAACATAAAAACGGTAACTTTAATAACTTTCCATAAGAACTGTACCTTACCAGGTCGGCCCTAGATCTTCGCTCAATGACACAAGACTTATAGACGCATGGCGTGAAGAACAACTATGTTTAACTTTGCAAAACAACCCGAGAGTAACAGAGTCGTTTTATACTTTTAAAAAATAAATTTTTTAGCATAATTTTTAATTTTTTTTAATTAATAAACTCTAACAACATTAACTTTTACTTTAATTTAAATTTAGAATAAATTTTAAAATATTTAAAATTTAATACTTTTTAAATAAAATGTTATAAAACCCCCTAAAATTTCTTCATGCTCAGCTCGAGTTAGTTTACACAACTCGATGGAATTTTTATATACTGTTTAAACGTTTTCGGCCGCAGGAAAGCGGGGGCCCGTGACTTTCGTAAAGTTGTAAGGGTGTAAAAAAACACTTTTTTGATCGAAGCATTATTTAAAATAGGGTAATATTGATACCAACTGCATCTTTTCAGCAAAAATGGTTTCAATCTCTAGCAACGCTCATAGTAACCATCTAAGACTCTTAGAAAACATTACCAAATAAATATTTCTAAAAAATTTAAATGAGGATAATATTATTATTTTTAAGCAGAGGGAAGGGGGGGGGGATTTGATGTTAACATTAAAGCAACAGCGCTGTTGCTTTAAAATGCCTTAAAATTTAAAATTTCTTAAAATGCCGCTGCAGCGGCATTTTAAGAAATTTGAAAAAGTCTAACCAGTATGAAAACATTTTTTAGCGTTATGAACATACCACCACCGACGAATTTAACTTTGTATAATAATTATTACAGCTGAATTGCAAGTGGCATATGTAAAAGTCGCCGAGAATTTAATGTTAGTAGGATGGCAAACAATTTAAATTGATTTTCCCATATTTGTGAACGACGATAAAATAAGAAATGCAACTTATTATAGACGGTACATGGCAGAAACGCGGAAATTCATCTTTGAATGGCGCGGTGGCTGTTGTTTCTAACGGTAAATGTGTCAATACCTAATTGTAACATTAACCATAAAGAATGTGCTGGAGCAATGAAGTCAGCTGGTGCGCTTACAATATTTAAACGTTCAGTCAGAATAAACAAGTTACGATATACAAAATACAGAGACGATAGTGATAATAAATCAATTAAAGATATATTCAATGCAGATCCATATCCTGGATATAAAATTTTAATAAGTGAGTTACAAGGGAAAAATTTTAAAAAGTGAATGCCTTAGGACATTTTCAGAAAAGGGTTGACTTATGATTGAGAACACTAAAAGTGAGTTACAAGGGGAAAATATTAAGTTATGATAAGCAACTTACTGGCAAAGAAAAAATGCCTGATAAAGTGATTAACACGCTTCAGAGCTATTATAGCATGGCTATTTGTCAAAATAAGGGTGATATATATGGAATAAAAAAGAGTATTGCTGCACTCATACATCATTGTTCAGCAAACAATGATCCGGAAGACAATCATAAAATTTTCCCTAGTACTATCCCAGTAAAAACAGATTGGTTTAGAATTAAAGTCAAAACATTTTTATCAAAAATACAATTGAAAAAATAAATAAAGAAAATAAAACTTTTTACGTTATTTGAGACATAAACCTTGATGCTCTAACTTGTTCAAAATTTCCAAAAACAAAATCCTTTTTTGATATGCTACTTAAATTTAATGTCTTGTCAGCAATTAATAAGCCAACACGAGTGACAAAAACCTCGGCAACGGCAATTGACAATATTTTCATTAATAATTACCTGGAAATGGAACTTGAAACCGGGATATTCATGACTGATATTAGTGATCACTTTCCGATATTTATAAAAGTAAGAAATTTAAAAACCATGTCTGATTATGAACCAAAAGTTATAAATTTGAAAAAACGCAATCTTAAAACAAGTAACACTAACGAATTATCAATCAGACTAAAACAAGAAACGTGGTCCAACGTGTATAGATGTCAGGACACCAACGAAGCTTTCAATAATTTTTTAGATATATTCCTAGATTGCTTTAATAAAACCTGTCCTCTAGAGGGCATAAAAATTAAGACAAAAACAGTTTCTAATCCTTGGATCGATAAATCACTGATAAAATGCTCAAAAAAGAAGCAAAAACTCTATAATAAATATCTTAAAAATAAAAACACTGATAACGAGAAAAATTACAAAAATTATAAATATTTTTACCAAAATCTGATTAAAAAGGCAAAAAATAAATACTATAGTAATGAAATCATTAAATGCAAATCTGATAGTAAGAAAACGTGGTCCGTCATTAACAAAATAATGGGACGGAAAAAAATAAACACAACTTCTTTACCAAAAAGAATTAATATTAACAATACAGACATATTCTGTGAAAAACAAATATCCGAAGAATTTAACAAATACTTTATAAATATTGGTCCAAATCTTGCTAATAAAATAAATCCAACAACTGATTCATTTAAAAATTATCTAACACCCACAAAAAAAGCCATCATGTACGATAAAGAATTTGTATATAAAGAATTTGAAGAAGCCTTTTCCTCTTTAAAAAAAAAGAAAGCACCTGGATTTGATGAACTAGTGATTTAGTTATTTTTAATAAAACCAGTTTAAGCAGACTTCTGATCCATATACTAAAGCTCTCAATAACATCTGGGATTTTCCCTGATGCACTTAAAATAGCAAAAGTAATCCCTATATTTAAATGTAATGAACATTCGGACATAACCAACTTTAGACCTATATCAATACTTTCTGTTTTTTCAAAACTCTTCGAACGTGTAATTTATAATAGAATCTATAATCACTTTACCAAAAACAAATTATTTTACCCAAGCCAGTTTGGATTTCAAAAAAACCTTTCAACAGAGCATGCAATTATTGAATTAGTTAATCAAATAATCGATGGTTTTAATCAAAACAAATTTACTTTAGGAGTTTTTATTGACTTATCAAAAGCTTTTGATACAGTTGACCACTGCATCCTATTAGATAAACTAAAATACTATGGTATAATTAATAAAACTTACAATTGGATTAAAAGTTATCTTACCAATAGAAAACAATATGTGTGCAATATACAATCTGGAGTATTAAATGTTTTATGTGGAGTTCCCCAAGGATCTATCCTTGGTCCACTTCTGTTTCTAATTTATATAAATGATTTTTGCAATGCATCTTTAAAACTAAATTCAGTCATGTTTGCTGACGATACAAATCTATTTCTTACTAACAGTGATATCAAGAATCTATATGCAGACATGAATATCGAACTAATTAAAGTAAGTAATTGGTTTAGAGCTAACAAACTCTCGCTTAACTCAGAGAAAATAAAATATATATTATTCCATAGAAAGGCGCAAGAAGAAAACCTTCCTCTTAAGTTGCCTGACCTTATCCTAAATGATAACTTAATTAAAAAACAAGCCAGCATTAGATTCTTAGGAGTTCTTGTTGATGAGAAGCTATCCTGGCTTCCTCAAATAAGATATATTCAATCTAAAATCAGTAATATAATTGATATGATGTATAGAGTTCGCTCATATATCAATAAACAAAGTCTAAAACTAATTTACTTTGGACTAATTCATTGCTTTATCAGCTATGCAAACATATCATGGGCAAGTACTCAGCCATCAAAACTTAAAAAAATCTATAGTCTACAAAAACACGCATGCAGAATCATTTACTTTAAAAATAAGCGGGAGCATGCAAAACCTATAATGAAAGATATGAAAATGATGGATGTTTTTGAAATAAATATCTATCAGCATTTAATTTTTATGTATCAATTTAATAATAATCTCTCTCCTACAAACTTTACTAACAAGTTTGAAATAAACATAAATGAAAACTACTATCTAAGAGCAAATATAAGTAACACATATAAACTGCCTCAAAACCTTAATAAATATACTGAATATAGCATTGCATATCGGGGGCCAAATATATGGAATAGATATCAAAAGGATCCAAATGTATGGCAAAGTCATTAAGTTCATTTAAGTTTCTGAAAAAAAAAGAAATTTTTAAAATTTGATTATTATTTGTGCTTAAAAGGATTACAAAGTAATTTTCTTTATAATCTTATTTATTTGTTTTTATTGATCAGCGCAGCAGTTTTATGCCCATTAGGGTTTTTAATTTAATTTAATATCCATAACCTAATGAAAATGTATATAGGGGGCTCTATGAAAAGATTGCGATGATTGCGTTTTATCATCTTCATTTTCTTTGAGCCCCTGTCTGTTTAACTCTTTATTTTATAAAGATCATTGTAAAAAAGTATAGTTTATTTTATATACTGTATATACAAAAACGGTGCTTGTTGACAAGATTTTACTGTCTTCTTTGTTATACGGACATATTTCTTTCTTTCTTGTATATATATGTGTTGATTATATTTGTTAAACAGCAAAAAAAAAAAAAAAAAAAAAAAAAATTAGTCAATATTTAGTCAAAATCGGTCAAAAAATGGAAAAAACGTTTAGCGACATATTAATGACTAAAAATCGACGCTTGATTTGAAATGTATATTTCAAACTTTTTTATATACACGTTTACTAAACCTCGATCTAACGATAAGAATATCGAATTATATTAGTCAATATTGTAACTAAACGTAAACATTTATAGATTTAAAATCCACGCTTTAAATCTTTTAATATATATTTTTATTAAACGTCAATCAAACGTTTTCAATATTGACTAATATAAGTTGATATTCTAAACGTTTGATTGACGTTTAATCATAAACGTTTAATCATAAACAATTCATAAACGTTTATTATATTATAATATAGTAATATAGCCATTGGTCCAGAAGAAACGCATAACAGCTTAAGTCACGTGGTTTAAATAAGCATATTTAAAACGAAATAAAAAACTTATTAAAAAAATTATTTTTTATTGGCTGAATAAATAAATTAGACTTAAATGCGTTTTCAAGATTCACCTCCTTACAACAACCGAAAGCAAAACGACGGATAAATAAATAATAATCGAGTATTGGGTGCGCTATATTAATTCAAGGAAGTTAAAAAGCTTTTATCGCGACAATCTACTTTCCAAAATGCCAACAAATCAATGGACTCCGATGTTTTAGAAATTATTGATGGTCTCCATTGACACAATGAAAAATATGAGTTTCTGATCTCTCGTTATGAAAGTCCTG